CCATGGTATCGTTAATGCCATGGATTACTGTATATAAAAATCGTACTGAATAATGTGTATAACTAACACAAATATTAATTATATATAAGTTGAAAAATATTGCCAATAAAGAATTGAAAATACCAAAACTAGTACATATTTTATTTTCCTTAATACAATCTATCAAAAACGATTCCTTACTGAAAAGTCATTCATAGTATTTATTTGTAGTGTGAATTACACTGCTAATTAAAAAATGGATGATAGTAGTGCCTAAGATTAGGGCTGCTTATCGGGCAGATCGGGCAGTTATTTACTTTTAACGGTTTGTCTTATCGGTTATCGATTTTTAAATGTATTAATCCGCTAGCTACCCGATAAGATATCGGGAGGATTGGTATCGGTTTAGCTATTATCGGGCGGTTATCGAACGGTTATCGGTTTAGTTTCAGTTGATTGAAACTTAGCATACTTTAACAGTGTTGGGGAGTATATCCCGAGACAACAATATAGTCAACATTTCTCATACATATATATCAACTAAATTATACCATGGGGCCATATTACTAGAATCAAATACTGGATATCAAAAGAAAAGTAATCTATAAAGATCAATCACTGTATCCACTTTGAATTGTGCTCTTATCATTATCGGAGTAGCAGTCGTCTTACTTGGCCTCTACAATCTCCTTATCATTCGATGGTGCAACGAAAACCACACAAATGATCAGTCTATTGAACAAAACTCTAGCCATGTTTCTCATGATAATCTTAACGTGAACTTAGTGTCCAGTTTCAGGTACAAGAAAGGAGGAGTTGGAGTTGGAGGAAATCATCACGAGAAGTGCACAACAGAATACACCAACAATATCATTTGAACAGATTTCTTACTGTTTAAGAATATACTTTCAAGCAATCAGTACAATTTACTTTGCACTTCGTACAATTGTCTAGAGCAGTAATATGGATAAAAATAAATTTTATATATATATGTATTCTCAACGGGTTAACGGATTATCAGTTAAGAAAATTGAATAATCCGCCCCCAAACCGATAAATCGTTAATAAAAAAATTTNGAATAATCCGCTCCCAAACCAATAAGCCGTTAATAAAAAAAATTTAATTTGTTCCCCGTCCGTTAAATCGTTAACCCGATATCAATAAGGCATTAAGTTTCGATTTCGGTTCGATTTTGAACCCCCTACCTAAGATTATGATATTCTAGGGACTAGGAATGGAATCTTCTCATTTACTTAAAAGTCATTCCTAGTATTTATTAGCAGTGTGATTACTACTTAAAAAATTAATTACAGTAGTGCCTAAGATTAGCTATTTTAGGGTTGGAATCTTCTCATTTTTAATGTCACGATCCAATTTCACCTGTAGGTCGTGATGGCGCCCAACACTACAGCGAGGCAAGCCAACTAATAAATTAAGCATACATTAATAAAGTTCAAAACCAAAAAAAATATAAACCCAAACTCTACCAATGTGTGTGCCAAGACCTGGTGTCACAAGTAAATGAGCATCTAGTAGATTATACAAAACTTCAAATACTGTTTGAAATAAAATAGACAGAATGTAAATATAAAAAGAGACACTGGTAGCTGCAGAACGGCTCAGAAAGGCAGCTCACCACTATGCCTCGGGATGACGTGGGTAGGTAATGATAAGTCCTCCACTAGTACCTGTCTCAGATCCTGCACAAAAAGTGCAGCAAGTGTAGTATGAGTACATAAA